GGGAGTATGGTGGGCGGGGCAGGGACTGTGGGGAGGAGCAGGGAGGGACTGGGCAAGGGAGCGAGGCAGGGGCAAGACAGAGTAAGGGTGGAGAAGCGAGCTGGGGTGGGTGCAAGGGGCCTGGGCTGGAGATGGGTAGGAGGACCGAGGCAGGAAGAGAAGAAAGGGCAGGGGAAAGGGGACAGAACTTAAGAAAAGAGCTCCCTCCCGCCAAATATAAGAGGTCTGGAAGAAAAAAGGAGATTATGAAATGGGCGAAGCCACAGCCCGCAGCATCTGGAGCAGGCCCTGCTGCTGAGGCTGGTCGCGCGTGGGATCCCGCGCACGCACGCGACGGCGGCACGACCAGGACCCGCCCGCAAAATCGCCAAACTCCGAGTTCTGGATGTGGGCCAGGCCCTGCTGCCGCAGGCGTTTTCCCCACGCAGCTTCTGCAGGGACCCCCCGAGGGAGGGGGCATTTTCCCCGCAAAAATGAGGAAACTAGGGCACTCGTGCGAAAGTTGACGCACCCTGTCCGAGATCCTACAGCGGGTGAGACGTGTAAGAAGGCGGAAGCGGGACTCCCAGCACATCGAGAGGCCGGTGTTAGGAGCAAAGAATAAACGGGCCTCCCAACAAAACCTGCCCACACGTGTCCCCAGTGCCCCAGGGAGCCCCAGCCCCGTACGGGAGCCTGCAAACTGGCTCAGAGCCACCTCAGGCTGCACTGTGCTCGCTCCTGCCCTTCTTCTCTTTTGGCCAGGGAGACCCTCTTAGCAGCCGAGGGAGAGGGAGGGCCACCGGGCACCCTGACTGTCTCCCAGGAGAATGCTAGTACAAAGAACTTTCTTCTTTACTCGTGTGACTCACAAAGACAGAGGACAGACTAAGGATCATCCCATGCCGCGCCCGCATTTTGCGGGCAGGGAAAGACCAGAGCCGCCAAGACCTCCAACTCCGCATCCGCCATGCAACAAACAAGACGCGAGAGATGGGAAGAGCCTGGCCTGCGCTCATCCACAGTGACGCGCCAGGGGTCCTTAGCGCCCAAGCTCACCTCGCACGACGACCAGCACCGAGCTATAGGTCTGGCCCACAAGGTTGGACGCCGTGCAGGTATAGAGGCCGCGGTCCGACTGCTTGCAGAAGAGGATCTTAAGTACAAAGTTCTCCTGAGCGTCCTCGTACACCACGTGCCGCCGACCCTCGACCACCAGCTGCCCGTCCTTCTTCCACACGGTCTCGGGCTTGGGCTCGCCAGTCACGTAGCAGCTGAGGCGTGCGTGCTTGCCTTCAGTCACGGTGCAGGTGCGCGTGCCGGTGCCAGGCGGCGAGGCGGGGGCGCCCTCCACTCGCATGGCTTCGCGCCGCCGCTGCAGGTGCGCCAGCAGCGCTGCGGTGGAAGTCCCAGGTGGGCCTGCCGCGTCAGCATCAGTGTCCACAGTGAGCGCGGCGGCTGCGCTGGCGCTGCCCAGCGGGTTCTCGGCGCGCACCGTGTAGGTACCGCCGTCGCGCGGTCGCGCAGCCTGGATGCGCAGTGCGCTCGCCTCACCGCTGGCCTCCACGCTCACTCGGGGGCCGTCTGGCGAGCCCAGGCGCCGCCCGTCCTTGGCCCAGCTCACGGCCATGGGCGGCGAGCCGCGCACGCGGCAGCGGAAAGTGGCCTCAGCTCCCTCGTGTACGCGGATAGACGTGGGCCGCAGCAAGAAGTGGGGTGCCTGCTCCGCGCACGCGGCCTCAGCGTTCACCTGCAGGCCCACGGCCGCGAAGGCTTCGCCGATGGCGTTGCGTGCGCGGCACACGTACTGTCCGCTGTCACCAAGTGCCAGGTCCAGGATGGTGAGGCAGTATAGGTCGCCGTCCTGGGCCAGGCGGAAGCGAGCGCCCGCCTCCACCGGCTGCCGATCCTTCTCCCAGCTCACCTGCGGCGTGGGATTGCCCACGATCTGGCAGCTCAGAGTGGCATCCTTGCCCACCGACACCACAAAGGCCTTAGGCCTGGTCAGGAAGCGGGGTGCGCCGCTGAATGAAGAGTGATCCATGGTGGTGGGTGCGGCCAGGGGGACCTGTGAGCTGGATGGGGAAGGTCATAGTGGGAATGAGCTCTGAACCAGCCACTTTTGTCCCCACTTGTCCACCTCATCCATCTCGTGCCATCTGGCGAACCCAGGTTAACCCAGGTGGATGCCTGCACATGCCATCCCCATCTCAGTCCCACCCCTCCCCCAACCCTACCCCCGCAGGCAATGTCAGAAGGCATTGTAGTCCAGAAGTGCAGATTTGCCCCTTTCTGGGCATTTGTGGTCTGGCTCCACCCCAAAACTGGTTCTCCTAATGGACGAACTTCTCCTCCCTACCCCCAGCTTCAGTCCCGCAGCCCTGACTCCAGGTCCAGCTGAACACCTGTCCCAGAGCACCGCACCAGCAGCCTGTGTGCCCTCCTCCCTTGCAGCATCACACTGTAGTGCCTGCCTCTTCCCCCACCAGCCAGGCAGATCTGTGGTGTCCCCCCTGGGTTGGGCTCACCTTACCTCTCCTGGGGCCCTCCACTCTTTCAACCCCTGGGAGGTTGTGCTCATCAGTGAGCAAGGATGGTATGGAAACCCTGCAGCCAGGCAAGCTCCTCCTAAAACCCAAGCCCCAGTTCACAGGGCTGGCCGGCCCCTTGCCGTGAGCGCCTGTCATCCCTTTGGAGCTTGCACATTCAGCAGTGTGCTTGCAGAGGACAGTGGAGAATTCCCCAGGAAGAGCCAGGGACATCCAGGCTGAGAACAGCTAGGCCCACTAGCTGGACCTAACCAGGGAGGCTGCTGGTAGCCTGGTCACTCTGTGGTTCCAGCAGCTGGACTGAAGGCCCCAAGTGACTCTGGTCTCTGCCCACCCCAGGTGATCCCTAGCTGTTCCCAGCACAGGTGGGTGAAGCAAGACGGGCCCCTGCCTACCCCGGGCTTCTGTAAGAACAACAAGCACAATGGGCCTCACTAGGCCCCTGGCTGGCCCCAAGTTCCTTAACTCCCTCCGCCCCAGGACTGAGGTGATGTTCCTGGGTCCTCTGCTGTGATTCAGGACCTAATCCCCCTTAATCCCCCTGGAGGAGGCTGAGCCCAGACCAGCCTGCTGACTCACTGTGCAGTCAGCACCTCTATCCCCCATCTCGCCAGCCACTTCCCCCACTCCATGGCCTAGCTGGGCTGGGCAGGCCTGGGAGGACCTGAGCAGGTGGCCATCCAAGCCCTGCCTCCATGGACACCCCCCTGGGCCATAATATCCCTCTGTGAAAGGGTTACTTAGACACCAGGGACCTGAGAGCAGTGAACTCCCCAATCATATAGTCAGCATGTGGGTTCCCCAAGATAGGACATGCATCCTCCCCACCAACACACCCAGAGCAGGTGCCAGAGAAGCTGCTCCGAGCTCATGAGCAAGCATGTTGTGGGGAGACTGCCACAGCCTGAGCCTCTGGGGGCCAAAAGGACAGAGACTGGAAAGGAGCTCCCATCTCTGCTTGTGCTTAAGAGGAGGCTGCCCCAGCCCTTGCCCCCGGCCTGGCAAGGGTGAGCAGAGACTCCGAGATCCTCTCAGGCTATAGGGGACTGTACCAATGCCCTGCTCCCAGTCCAAGGCCTACACTCCCTACCCTGATGCAGCTGACTCCATGGGGTCAGAGGAGGCTCACCGAGTCATAACAGCCTCAGAGCCCCACGGCAGCCCTGCCAGGCAGGCGTCCCCATCAGTCAGCAGGGCCAGGCACCCTAAGCACGTGCCCAAGGACTCTGGATCCTCCTTCATTCAGGCTGTGTGGGGGAAGGGACCATGAAAGTCCACCTCTAGGCACAGGGATACCTGCAGCAGCCTCTTCCTCTCCTTGACATATTGGCAGGAACAGGCCTCAGGAGGGGGACCCAGCTATGACCTCAGCCCCAGCCTCCCAGGAGGCCCCTCCTCCCTTAGATGCCCTCCTGGGAAGGCAGCTTCCTGTGGACCCTCTGCTGGGCACTGGAGTCTCATTCCAGGGCTGAGACCTCACCTGGGGTCCTTCCTACCCTGCACTCCATGCCCCCCATCCACTTGCTTCTGCAGCACTTGGCCACTCTCGGGTCTGGGTCTGCGTGGCCCCGGACCATGTTCTGGATGAGCTGGGGTGGGAAGTGGCTCTAGCCCAACAGCAGAAACCTGCCCCCACCCTGCTGCCCCCACACCCTTCCAGAAAAGACTCCAAGGACAGCTCCTGGATCTTTGCCCCCAGACCCCCGGCCCCACTTCCCGCACTCCACGGGAAATTCTTTCCTGGAGTCAGGTGTCACTGCCCCTCTGGCTGTCCCCTTCACTGAGCCAACAGGCCCAAAATAGCCCCAGCTGTCAGCGGGCATCCATCTCAGCAGAGCTGGGGGCAGGGCTGGCTGGACCCCCAGTCCACTGTGGAGCAGGGGTTGGGGGGTGGGGGAATTGGGGAGGCACAGCCCCAGCCTCCCAGCCTGGCTGCTCCCTTCCTGCATGAGGGCCCAGCTCAGATCTCCATGGGGAAGGAGCTGGAATCCAGGGCCCCAACCAGAGAGCAGCACAGCCTGCCTGGAACCCCACCCTAAGCCCCTCAGTCCCTTAGAGCCATGACCTTCAGCCAAGCCACCCTAGAGGGAGGGGTGGCACATAGGATGGCCCCTACGCTTGCCCACTCTGCCTCCTCACCTGTCTCTACAGGAGAACTTGGGGTGGCGGATGCCTAGGCCAAGGGTTCAGACGGTGGGACAGGGGCCACCTGGTTTCACCTCCCTCTGAGGGCCCAGGACCGACACAGCTCCGGCCAGCAGCCTGTCCTCCACACTCCTGCCGGTCCTCAGACTGGACAGGGACAGAGGACAGGCAAACGCTGTCAGCTGGAGAAGGCTGGCCCGCCCCCACCCTGCCCCCACCACAGGCCAGGCAGCCCAGCCTAGTTCCAAAATAGCCTGGCTGTCACTGCCCTGATTGGGTTTCAGGGAGGCAAAGGGCAGAGGCTCAGGGTCGCTGGGGGAAAGGAGGAGACCCCTGATGATGTGGGCCTGACACAGCCCCTGGCTGGTCAGGACTCCTCCTCAATCAGCGTTTGGAGTGCAGGCTGAGAGGGAGCCCAGGAGAGCAGGGACCACTCCCAGGGGACCCAGGATCATCCAGGGGGTACCACTGACTGAGATAATGGTCACATTGGGTAGTCAGAACCTTAGTTTCCTCACTGACACAGTGGGGCACAGAGGATGTGGGAGCCAAGCTGGGTGTCAGGCAAGGACATGAGCCCTGATGCTGGCTTAAGGGCAGGAGCAAGGCAGGGGTCTGCCCATGGAAAGGCCCTAGGGTCAGGTGGGGTGCAGAGGCCACCCTTGTATCCTGCCCTGGCTCTGCCCTCAGATGAGGTCCACTCCAGGGAGAGTCTCCTGTTTTTGATCTAGGTTCCCCAGAGGCAGGGGACTGGCCTTTTCCTAGGAGAAGCCCCACTGGGCAGCCCCCTACCCGGCTCCCAGTTAGGTCCCTGCCAGGCCAAGCCTACCTATGTCCCTGGATAGCCTGGCACCCTGACCACACTTATCTCTGAGTGGAGGCCGTGGGGACAGGAGAGGGGGCAGCTCTCCTGGAGCCACCTACAACACCTGCCCCCTGTCCTTCTTGCCCACCCCTTGGACCAGGCCCCCTGTACCTGCCTGATCCAGAGCCTCTCCTTGGTCCCTGGTGGGTGCTCCCAAGGTCTTGGTCATCTCAGGTCACTGTAAGAAGACTGAGGCTTCAACAGCATTTATTGCTCACAGCTTTGAAGGATGCAAGTCCAAGATGAAGGTGCTGGCAGATCAGGGTCAGCTGAGCACCCTTTCCTGGGTCTCAGCCGGTGTCCTCTCACTGTGGCCTCATGTGATAGAGAGAGACCTCTGGTCTTCCTCTCCTTATAAGGACACTGATTCCATCATGGAGGCCACCCTCACGACTCTTTCTAACCTTAATCACCTCCCAAAGGTCCTACCCCCTCACACGTCACATTGGGGCTTGGGGCTTTCACATGTGAATTTGAGGGAAAACATTCAATCCATAGTACCCAGTGATGAAGAAAAACCCCAGACAGGGTGCTCAGCCCACATGGCACAGCCCACAGCTGGTGCGTGTGTGTGTGCATGTGTGTGTCCGCTGCACACCTCCTAAGACACAGCCCTGGAAGGGGGAGAAGACGGCATGCTGGCTAGCTCTCTTGGAATAAGGGAAGCCCAGAGGAGATACACGTGCGCTCTGCACACTTTTTATAGAGGAGCCTCTATGTCTTCCACAGCCCACCCTCCTCCTCTATCCCCTCCCCATCTTGTATCCTCTATGGCCCACCCTCCTTTCTGCTATCTATCTGAGTCACTGTCCCCACACTCCCAGTGGAGGACAAGCCTGTGTCTTCAGTCCTAGGAGATGAGAGACTCCAGGCTCAGCATCTCCTGGACTTCTTGGCTCTTAAGACCCACCCAACTCCTTTCTTGGGGATAGGTCCCAGGTCGGCTGTGCATCTCTTGGTACTCACAGGAGCCCACTCTCCTCAGTGTCCTCATTCCAGCAGAGGGTGCTGCGCACTTGGCCAGACAGGTGTCAACAATCCGTGCACCTTCTGCACCCATAGAAACAGTGGCAGCCACCTCACAGGGCTCGGCAGTAAGAGCAGATTCCCATCGCCCACTGGATCCCCTGAGACTTTCAGTCTCTGTCTGAGGACACTCTTGCTTGGAGGCTTCCCATCCCCAACTGCATTCACCACCCATTGTGTCCCTTAGACCAACACTCCCATCCTCAAGGAAGTGAATGCAAAACTAAGCGGGTTCCCAGGGTGTCTCTTATCTCATCATACACAGAGTCCAGGTAAAGATGCAGTTGCATATTCTGGGGGAAGAGGGTTTCAATCCCTTGTAATGTTTTAAAAGGCAGACATTTGCAAAGCTTAACTCACTTGTGAATAATGCAGGTGAAGCCAGTGCACGTCCCACATGAAAAACAAAGATGTGTAGTAACACTTTCCAGGGCTTCACGTTAAGATCTCACTGGAATCCCCATTGTCCCCCCAACATAGTGTTTCCCCTTTTACAGCAGAGAAACCTGAGGCGCAGAGTGGCTGGAGCGATTTGCTCAAGTTAACATACAGACAGGCATCACCCAGTTTCTCCTGAGTATAGATGACAAACAGAGCATTACCAGGGCAACGGGATGATGCCGTGCGTCGTCACAGCCTGCACGGCATCCTAGAACAAAAAGGGAGCATTAGTGACAAAACAAGTGAAATCCAAATAAACTCAGGAGCTTAGTTTTGAAAAAGTGTGTAGCAACTTAGAAATTCTGCGGAGGCACAAAGGCAAACAGTTTAAAGACAGCAATCCTGCTCATAGGTGGACAGAAGGGCTTTTTAATTTCAATTACAGTTGACATTTAATACAATTTTATATTACTGTCAGATATACAGCATGTGCTTACGCATTTATATAATTTACAAAGTGATCCTCTGATAAGTCAAGTACTCACTTGGCATTATATATGGTTATTAAAATATTATTGCTGTAGCTGGGACTTCCAATGCTGAATGATAATGGTGAAAGTGGACATCTTTGTCTTGTTTTTGATCTTAAGGAAAACACTTTTAGCTTTTCCCCATTGTGTATGATGTTAGCTGTGGCTTTGTCATATATGGCCTTCTTTATGTTTGCTCTATTCCCACTTTGCTGAGAGTTTTTATCATAAATGGATGCTGGATTTTGTCAAATGCTTATTCTGCATCTATTAATATGATCATATAATTTCTATCCTCTATTTTGTTTATGTGGTATATCACATTAATTGATTTGTGGGTATTGAATAAATTAACAAATCCCATTTGATCATGGTATATGATCTTTTTAATGTATTGCTAAATCTGGTTGCTAATATTTTGTTGAGGATTTTTGCAGCTATGTTCATCAGGGACATTGGCCTATAATTTTTTTGTGTGTGTGTGTGGCGTCTTTGTCTGGTTCGGGAATCAGGGTAATGGTGGCCTCATATTATGAGCTTGGGAACCTTCTCTTCAATTTTTTGAAATTGTTTGAGAATGATAGGTGCTAATCATTTTCTGAATATTTGATAAAATTCACCTGTGACTATCTTCTCCAGAGCTTTTTTTTAATTTATTTAATTGGTTTCAAGTATACGGTACATTAGTTAGACATCTAGATAGTTCATAAAACAATCCCTCCATTTGCTCCCTCCCTCCCCTGACCCTCCACCTAGCCAACGTATTAATGCTAACTGTATTCCTTATGCCATGCTCCCCATCCCCATGACCATCCATCAGCTACTAATTCATACTTCTTTAACCCTTCATCCCATTCTCCCAGCCCTCCAAACTCCCCTCCCTTCTTTCTGTTACCAAATTGTAAACTGTATTTGTGAGTCTGTTTTTGATTAGTTTGTTCTTTTTATTCCTTAGATTCCGCATATAAGTGAAATCATATAGTGTTTATCTTTCTCTGTCTGACTTAAATACCTTCTAGGCCCATCAAAGCAATATCTTTTTTCATCTCCTTCCTTTTAATCTGTGTGTGTCTTTTAATCTGAAGTGAGTCTTTTGTATTTTTTCTTCTTAAAGAAATCCCTCCAACATTTCCTATAATACTGGCTTGGTGGTGATAAATTTCTTTAGCTTATTTTTGTCTGGGAAGATCGTTATCTGTCCTTCCACTCTAAATGATAGCTTTGCTGGATAAAGTATCCTTGATTATAGATCCTGGATCTTCGTCCTGTCAAATATTTGTTGACAAGACCTTCTGAACTGCATAGATTCTTTTGAGAAATCAGCTGCCAGTCTTATGGGTGTTTCCTTATAAGTAATTATCTGTTTTTCTCTTGCTGCTTTTAATATTCTTTCTTTGTATTTAACCTTTGGCATTTTAATTATGATGTGTCTTAGTGTAGGCCTCTTTGGATCACTGATTTTTGGAATTCTCTGTGCTTCCTGGGGTTTTATGTCCATTTCTTTCACCAGGTTAGGGAAGTTTTCCATCATTATTTCTTCAAACAGCTGTTCAACACCTTGATTTTCTTCAGTTACGCCGATAAGATGGATATTTGGACCCTTAATAGTTTCCCATATGCTCCTTAAATTATTTTTATAGTCTTGGTATCTTATCTCTTGCCATTCTAACTGAGTGTCCTTGGCTTTCCCGTCCTCTAGATATTTGATCCTCTTCTTTATTCACTTTGTTTATTCCTTTGTTTTTTCCATTTAATATACTTCTCATCTTAGATAATGTTCTTCATTTCAGACTTGTTCTCATTTCCATTTTTATGTTTTTTATCTCTTTGCTGAATTTGTCTACACTTCCCAAAAGTTCATTGATCATCTTTATAACCAGTGTTTTGAACTCTGCATCTGTTAGATTACTTGACTCCATTCTATCTGGATCTCTGTTCTGTTCTGTCATATGGTTTCTGCTTCTTTGTCTTCCCATTTTGGCGGCCTTTCTGTGTCCGCTTCTATGTACTAAAGAAAGCTCCTAAGTCTCCTGGTCTTATTAGTGTGGATTTGTGAAGTGGGTGTCCAGGGGCACAGTCCTGAGAGGGGTTCAGCTGCAGGCCAAACGTAGCCCAAGCCTCTGCCCCTCCAGGGCCACTTGTTAAGATTCAGCAGGCAATCCACAGATGCTGTGCTTATAGTTGCCTTAAAAGACCACACCAGAATTGGAAGCCAGCTGCCTCCAGTGTGAGTCTAGTTGCTGCTCAGCAAGGAGTACCTGACTCACTGAGGACACACCTGGATGTGGCTTGGGTGGCGCTGCGAGTTGGGGGAAACAAGGTTTCAGGGAATCCTCTGGGCGGAGCGACCTCTGTTATCCAGTTTGATGATGTCACGGCTATGGTCACACTGTGTCCATGCACTGGGAGAGGGAAGGGCTCAACAGAGAACAATGGATACCTATGGCACTTCTATATAGAGCAAGTCTCGCCTAAGCCCTCACTCCGACAACTCAGTGTCCCCCTGTAAGTTCCTGGTGCCCGCTGTGAGCAGCCGAATCAGCACTGATGCTCAGAGCAAGCAGGTCTGTCACTCTGAAAATCCGCTCGCGGGCATGGCCACAGCCTCCGTCTCACTCAGCCGCTCGAGATAGGATAGCCCTATGTGCTCACCTCGACCTACCTTCTGCTGTTGCAGGGTGCTTTCTCGGATTTCTCCCTAGTTGTATGGCTTGTTTTTCTAGATCCTAGGCTATTTTTCCTTGCTGCTGCTCCTTGTTTCCATCACAACTTTGATTTGGTTGCCAGAGAGATGAACAGAGCCTCTATCATCTATCCCATTTTTTTCTCTGTGTCCAGAGCTTTTGTTGGGAGTTTTTTGATTACGGGTAATATTTCATTAGTTCAGATTTTTTGTTTCTTCTTGATTCAGTCTTCAAAGATTGCATATTTCTAGGAATTTTTTCACTTTTTCCAGATCATCCAATTTATTGGCATAATTGTAGTATTTTTTCAAATGATCCTTTGTATTTCTGGGTGTCAGTTGTCACATCTTTCAATTCTGATTTTATTTATTTGGGTCCTCTCTTTTTCTTGATGAGTCTGGTTACAGGTTTATCAATGTTATCTTTTCAAAGAACCAGCTCTTTGTTTCATTGATCTTTTGTATTGTTTTTCTTGATTTTATTTCATTTATTTGCACTCTGATCTTTATTATTTCCTGCCTTTTACTCACTTAGGGCTTCGTTTGTTCTTTTTCTTTAGTTCCTTTAGGTGTAAGATTAGATTGTTTCTTAGAGACTATTCTTGTTTCTTGCGGTAGGCCTGTATTACTATGAATTTCCCTCTTAGGACTGCTTTTGCTCTATCCTATAGATTTTGGGTCATTAGGTTTTCATTTTTATTTGTCTCAAGGTATCTTTTGATTTCTTTCTTGATCTTATTGTTAACCCATTCATTGTTTAGTAGCATGTTATTAGGCTTCATGTGTTTGCGTTTTGCGGGGGTGGGGGGTTCTTGTAATTAATTTCTAGTTTTATATCATTGTGGTTGGAGAAGGTACGTGATATGATTTCAATCTTCTTAAATTTATTGAGATTGGTTTTATGGCCTAACATATGGTCTATTTTGGAAAATGTACCCTGTGCACTTGAAAAGAATGTATATTCTGCTGCTTTGGGCTGGGCTGAAATGCTTTAAAAATATCAATTAAATTCATCTGGTCTAATGTGTCATTTAAGGCTGCTGTTTTCTTATTGATTTTCTGTCTGGAAGATCTGTCCATTGGTGTCAATGGGGTGTAAAGTCCCCCACTGTATGACTGTCGATGTCTCTTTTTATGTCCGTCAATATTTGTTTTGCATATTTTGGTGCTCCTATGTTGGGCGCGTAAATGTTTACCAAAATTATATCCTCTTGTTGGATTGATTCCTTTTTCATTATGTAATGATGATCTCTTCTTCTTATAGCTTTTGTTTTAAAACCTATTTTGTCTGGTATAAACATTGTTACCCCTGCGCTCACTTCAGTAGTACATATAATAAAATTGGAATGACACAGAGAAGATTAGCATGGCCCCCGCGCAAGGATGACACACAAATTCGTGAAGAATTCCATATTTTTTTATGAACTATATAGTTGTCTAACCAATGTACTATATACTTGAAACTAATTTAAAAGAAAAAAGTATTGTTACCCCAGCTTTTTTTCCCATTTGCATGTAATATCTTTTTCCTCTCTTTACTTTCAGTTCGTGTGTGTGTTTCCAATCTGAAGTGGGTCTCTTGTAGACATCATATGCATGTGTCTTGTTTTCTTATCAATTCAATCACTCTATCTTTTGATTGGAACATTTAACCCATTTAAATTTAAAGTAATTATTGATACTTACATAGTTATTGCCACTTTATTATTTATATTTATGTTCTCTCCCTCCTTCTTCTTAAAGCAATCCCTTTAACATTTCTAGTAAAACTGGTTTTATGGTGATGAACTCCTTTAGCTTTTTTTTTTTTTTTGGTCAGGGAAGCGCTTTACCTCTCCTTCAATTTTAAATGATAGCCTTACTAGGTAGAGTAATCTTGATTGTAGGTCCTTGCTTTTCATCACTTTGAATATTTTGTGCTAAGCTCTTCTGGCTGGCAACATTTCTGTTGTGAAATCAGCTGACAGTCTCATAGGAGGTCCTTTGTAGGTAACTAACTGCTTTTCTCTTGCTACTTTTAAGAGCCTCTCTCTATCTTTAACCTTTGGCATTTTAATTATGATGTGTTTTGGTGTGAGCCTCTTTGGGTTCATCTTGTTTGGGACTCTCTGTGCTTCCTGGACTTATTGTCTATTTCTTTTGTCAGGTTAGAGAAGTTTTCAGTCATTATTTCTTGAAATAGGTTTCCAATCCCTTCCTCTCTCTCTTCTCATTCTGGTACTCTTATGATGCAAATATTGTTATACTTGATTTTGTCCCAAAGGTCCCTTAAACTATCCTCATTTTTTTATTTTTTATTTTTTATTTTTTTTGCTGTTCCAATTCAGTGTTTTCTGCTACCTTATCTTCCAAATCATTGATTTGATCCTCTGCATCATCTAATCTATTGTTGATTCCTTCTAGTATATTTTTCATTTCAGTTATTGTATTTTACTTTTTAAAATGATTTCTATGTCCTTTTTTTAATGCTTACTATCTCTTTTTTGAAGTTCTCATTAAGTTCTTTGAGCATCCTTATAGCTAGTGTTTTGAAATCTGTGTCCAGTAGATTGCTTCCTTCTGTTTTGTTTAGTTCTTTTTCTGGAGCTTTGTTCTGTTTTTTCACTTAGGACATATTTCTTTGTCTCCTCATTTTGGCTGCCTCCTCATGTTTGTTTCTATGTAATAGGTAGACTTATAGTGTTGGCAGGGTAGCCTTGTATAGTAGGTGTCCTGAGGGGCCCAGTGGTGTAGTCTCCTTGATCACCTGAGCCAGGTGCTCGAAGAGTGTCCCTTGTATGGGTCTGTGTGCCCTCCTGTTGTAGCTGAGCCTTGGATGTTGTTGGCATGTCAGTGGGTGGGATTGACACTCAGCCTGAAGGGTTGTGAGGGTTGGTCACAACTACAGAGTAGCAGCTGCTGTTTAGGGGCTGACTCCCTGGAGCAGGATTTGACCCAGTGCACTATGCCGCTTGCCAAGACCCCGCTTTGGGTCTGCTGCTTGTGGAGCAAATTGAGCAGTGCTCTGTTGTGATATGAAGTCATCCTCAGAGTGTGTTGGTCTTGGGGCCTTTTGGGAGGGGCTCCCATGTAGGCCAAGGGATACCCTGGGCTGACTGCTGACGGTCCTGTGTGCAGGCAGAAGAGGCTGCCAGGCTGGCCTGGCCTCACTCACCAGGCTAAGTGGGTACACTGGGGAGGGAGCTGATTCTGGGGGTGCTGGCTTTTACAGGTCTCTGCGAGAAAGATCTGTGGGCCCCTCCTGGGTGCAGGGAGGGTGCCCCACCGGATCCCTGGGGTATAAGGAGAGCTGGCACCTTGAAGAATGAGGTCAGGGCCTCAGGGCACATACATGCAGAGGAGAGGGACCCAAGAGTGGAGTTTACCAGCACCCTACTTGTCTCCCTGTCCACATGTGGGCTGTCCGCTTTTGGGTCTGAGTGCTCCATGCTGGGGTGTGAGTTGTCCTGGCCCCCGCCCAGCTCCCCACAGCATGTACCAGGGGACAGTGTTCCTGGACAAGCCACGTCCTTCTCCAGGCTGAGCTCCGGGTCCCTGCCAGGACTGCAGCAGCCCCAAGATAGGAGGCTGCCTTCTCTGGTCCATGGACCCCAACTCCCTGGGGCTGGTCTTACCCTGACCCCACTGCAGGGTGGCTGCAAAAACCCAAGAGACATGACAAGTGCTACTGAAAGGAAGTTGTCGCAAAATTGCACCATGTGCCAGAAACAGTGGGGCCTAAACTTGGATCAAGAGAACGCCACACTGGACATTGCAGTTATTGGATTATGAAGCACTGATTTCCTCCCAACAGCCACAAAAGGCTGTCTCGGTGGTGGCTGCCCTCCAAAATGTTAGGAGAAAGAACTGAAGAGAAAAAATAAAAACAGACAGCTCTGCGACATCAGTTATGGGGACAGGCTGCATGGCTGAGACCAGGTCCCAGTGGGGAAGCCTTGTGTAGTCAACTCCTGCCCAAGGCCAGAGGGAGCCTGCAGGCCACCGCTGCCTGCATTCCAATGTCAGAAGCCACAGAAGACTGTGAAAAACATCTGGAAAACTCTTAGCAAACTGATAATTGTGGTTATTGCTAGAGGTGGGGGTGTTCTAATTTGACATCCTTGTATTATTATTTGAATTTTGAACATCAAGAAAAAGAAATGAAAGACAAAAATTAGTTCCTGGTGACCCCCACAGAGGTGATCTTCGGATGGAGGGGAGTGGACAGTCCACCAAGACCACCCAAGATGAAGGTCCCTGTCCTGGGGGTGGGACGACTCGGATCTAAATAACGCCTTCTGTAATATGGCGCGCCCCCTCTCTGTGGGAACACCACCTTCCTTTCTGCTGGGTTTATCACAAATATCCCCTTTCAAAGTCAACTTTCTCCAAGAACATGTCAGGAGCAAAATAAAATCTATTTGGAGTAAGTAAAGTCGACTCTGACAGCAGTAAAGTATTGACAACAGACACCACACACATGGATACCGTGGAAACGAAAGGATATTGTTGCCCTTACATATTGGAAACAAGCAGTTTTTTAAAGTAGAACCATATTCCCAGTTATTAATGCATGTTGACACAAACCATAAAGCTAAGAAGACCTTTGTCCTCTTTC